CTCCCCCACTACACGACTGCCTTGAGTTGATATACCACTTTTTTGGACTTGGTTGTTGCAACATGATGCGAAGAAATTAGGGCACTGTAGGTAAAATTATAATTTAATTTAAATAAAATATATTTTTTTAATATTATAAACTAAAAGTAATTAAAAAAACATATTTCCATTTAAAGCTCGTGAACAAGCGCATTAAGATGATTGATTAAAACTTATTATTAACTTAAAACTCAATGTAAATTATAACTAAAAATATAATTTAACTTTTAGAAAATAAGTTAAAAAATATTTTAAAATTAATGGCAATATTTAAATTCTTAAGTAAAAAATTATACAGTGTATATGTAAGTTCCCCTATATTAATTATTTGAAAACTTGTATTTTTCTCTCTTAGGAAAGTAAAAAAATATACCCATTTTAAATTTCAGTCTCATAAAGTTAGTATTTACATGTATGAATTCATATGTATTTATATATCTGCGATTTAAATTTTAATATTTATTTGTATAGCACCTTAATCTTTAAATATTTTTAAAAAACCATTAAAATTAAATTATTTTAAAAGTTTATTTTGTTCATTCATGTGCTTTGATGTTAAGTATTAGATACTGTATATTAAAAAAATGTGTTCGTATTGATCTTAAACAGCTTTAACAACCCATAAAAAAAGAATATGGTGGAGGCAGATATGTTATAAAGAGATAGTGAGGTCTATTGGATCAAACAAACAAAGGCATGCAAGTCGATCCAAATAGGCCATAGCTGATTGATCTATAAGGAGGAAAATAAGACGATCGGGCGAGCCAAGCAGGAACCATTCAATAGGTGACTAGACAGAAGAACGATCGAGCCATCCACAGCAAGAAAGCCATCCTGATGTAATGGCCCATCTCGCAGCGAAGCTGACCTAAGAAAAAACCTAGTTTACAAAGTGTCTTCAACCATCTCGTGGAAATCTCAAAGGCCAGGCTAGATAGCTAACCAAAGCCTATCAACCAAGCTCAGTCGACTGAGCTAACCCTGTCGGCTTGAAATCAACTAAGCTTAGTCAGTCGAGCTAGAAGGTTGTCAAATGATAAGTCATACTTGTAAAATACTAGAAATGTCCTGGTATAGACTCTTTGTAACAGGGGAAAAAACTTAATATCACTATCTTCCTTATAAATAGGGAATAGAATTTAT